GACGTGTGAGGTGAAGTCTGCTGCCTTAAAGGAGGCACTCTGGAGTGCCTGCTAGGTGTGCAGCGCAGAGTGAAGCACTCCATGGAGCTGAGATGCAAGGTGTCTTGTTCTCAGCTCATGAGTAATGGGAGTGGCAGACAGACATGTAAAGAGTTAGTAGATGTTTGCTAGGAGTGGCGTGAGTAACGGTTTAAAGCTGTGAAATATCTTTTAGCCTTATCCTCAGGGGACGCAAAACCCAGGAAGACATTGAAAGAGAAGGAAAGGAGAGCGCCTTCAGACGGTAGGCCTTTTCTCTCAGTTCTGTTGTTTTAGGAGCTTCGACTCCAGAATGTTGCTACCAGAGTTCTGTGACATGCCCCTTTGAAAGCTGACGAAGGAGGTCAGTCTCCATTCGCTTTTTCAGAGCGTCTGAAAGCTGACTCCAAGGGAGCAGAGAGGGAGGGGGCGTGGGGTATACATGCCTGTAAAGATTTAAGTGGTTAAATTTTTAGAGATCATTACCTGTCTTTCTAGAATTCTGTAGAAGTTATCTGGGGTTCTCTAGTGTTTTTTTCAATATAGTACATCAGGTTCTTTCATACTAAGCTAGTGGTTGTTAGCTGCTGTTGAGTTGGCCCGTCTCATGGCAACCCCATGTACAGTGGACCTAAGTGCTGCTCAGTCCTGTGCCATCTCTGTGATGGGTTGTGGATTGGACCGTAGTGATCCATAGGGTTTTTGTTGGCTAATTTTTTTTGGAAGTAGATTGGAGGCCTTTCTTCCTAGTCTGTCTTAGTCTGGAAGCTCCGCTGAAACCTGTTGAGCATCATAGCAACATGCAAGCCTCCATTGTCAGGTGGTGGCTGTGCGTGAGGTGCATTGGCTGGGGATTGAACTTGGGCCTCCCACGTGGAAGGCAAGAATTCCACCAGTGAACCACGACTGCCCCCATTAAGCTAGGAAAGTACTTTATATTCCCACTCCTGACTGTGTCAATCTGAAGATCTCTCTGTTCAGTTTCTCCTTCCTTCCCTCTAATTCTCAGTAAGATGGGTCTTGAATGTGATAACTGAATGCTTTTACCTGATGCAAAAAACATAAATCTAGATGCAGAGGCTGCTTGCTCCAGACTTTAACAGACTGGAGGGCCTTTTCAGGGACTCATTGGGTCTTTTTAATGGCTTTTGTTTGAAATTCAGCAGAATGCTCTTAAGTACTTCTTGTTAAACGTGGTTGAATAAATTGCATGTCAGTTTTGGAGAAGATGTTGTAGAGGCTAACATCTGAAATTTGAGTTCCAAACTCGTCTGTAACTCTACCTGCAAAACACTGTTTTCTGTTTCTCTAGATGAAGAAGATAACTTATTTGCACCCCCTAAGCTGACCGATGAAGACTTCTCCCCTTTTGGCTCCAGAGGAGGTCTGTTCAGTGGAGGGAAGGGACTTTTTGATGATGAGGAGGATGAGGTGAGTCAGTGGTCCTCAGTGATGCTCCCCACAGCTGTGTCCTCAGTGATGCTCCCCACGGCTGTGTCCTCAGTGATGCTCCCCACGGCTGTGTCCTCAGTGATGCTCCCCACGGCTCTGTCCTCAGTGATGCTCCCCACGGCTGTGTCCTCAGTGATGCTCCCCACGGCTGTGTCCTCAGTGATG